TTAACTCAAAATGGGACATGGGTTTATTCATACTCTAAAGACTATGCCTTTATACAATTAGTGTTCACTATAAAATTATATTCGGTATAGACGGTAATTATTAAATGAAACATATTTTTTTAATTACTAATTACATTTGTCAGTGGATTAAATTTGCTTTAATAAAGTTGGTGATGATTTTAAATAAGAATTAAATTCTGGGCAAGTTTTTTTTTATTGTTACCTTTGTTAACAACATCGCCTTTAGAACTGGAACCGTAAGTGTTTTTTTCAGACGTCCACAATTTATGCAAAATAGAAAAATACTTTAGCTTTAATAAGAATAAGGATGTTCATACCTTAAACACTAGGAACAAACATAAGCTTGTAATGCCATTTACTAGACTCCACAGAATTAGTAATTCATTTATGGGGCAATGTATACGCTTTTACAACAGAATCCTAGAACATGTTCAAAGTTTGTCAATAAACAAGTTTAAAAGTTTTATTAAAGAAAAACTGTACAAAAAGGGTATATTATAATATTAAGGAATACATGAATGAAATTAACCCCTGGGAATAAGATGATCGCCACCATGCTGGTTCTATGAAAATTTAAAATTGTATAAACAAAATTATTGTTAAGTGAAATTATGTTTAAAAAAAAAAGTCCCGCTGGTTTTCTTGCTGGTTCTTCCCAGGACAGAGGTATTTTCCGAACCAGTGGTAAATAAAATAATGACTTTCAATAAGTATTATGTAATAATCCATATTGAATAAAAATCATTCTATTCTATTCTATTCTATTCTACTCTTTCTACTGAAAGAAAGAAAGAAAGAAAATAAACTTTATTGACACAGCAGTGCATGCACATATACAAATGGTTAACATTAAATTATATATTATACACTAATACTGTGCCAAAACAGGCTTCCGCTCAGCATTTGTCATGACATGCTCGCAAGGAGCATGTCAAGACGCTGGTCTTCTGCGGACACCTATTGTTGGCATTGTACATCCTTTCGAGAATACATTAACTTAAAATGTAGTAATTATTATATGAATGTATTTATGTGACTTGGGTGTCTCTCGAAAGGGTGCACAATACGGGGACGCTTTAATGATTGTAATCATGGTTGTCAAAAAAAAACAATGTTAAAAACACAAAAGAGATAATAAAAGGTTAAAAATATTTATAATAGTGATCGATATTAAATGGAATTTTGAAATAAGCAAACAAATAAACAATCAACAACATTCCCTTAAATTACATTAAATTCTAGACTATTAAATAACAACTAAAACTAAATTAGTGGCCATTCCAACAAACATAAAAAAGAAATTGTTCCAAGTCCTAACCGAACGAACGAATCCGAAAAAGAAAAGAAAAATAAAACAGTCCAAACAAATACCATGTACCATACATCTGGTATTATTTGCGGTTGCTGGAATTATTTACGGTGGGACGGGCCCGCCAACGCCAGTGCGCGACGTGAGCACCCCATGGTAAGTGTATCAGCACCACCCGCCTTTTGCAGTGAGATAAGGTATTTTTTTACGTGAGTTTTAAACGTGTTTCTCACTTGTAGGACACGCAAAGGCGGAGGCAGGTCGTTCCAACACCGTGACGCAGCGAATCTGAAGGAGCCCCGAAACGCCATGGTGCGATGTTTTGGAGTGGCAAAAACGTGGGTACACTCCCTCCTGGGGTATCTGCTGTGATTACGGGCCCACTCCAGCTTTAGGAATAGGTATTTCGGTTTTTTTGTAGTGATAACTCCGAACATCATAGTAGTCAAATGCAATCTTCTGCGTGCCTCCATCCTCAGCATGTTTGCGTCATTGAGATATGGCGTAACCTAGGTGGAACTAAAAAGCAGAAACGAGCACATGCATTTTGCACTCTCTGAATAAGCCTGGACGTTCTTGATAAGAGGCATGGACCATACACTGAGTCACAGTAATTAAACCTGCTGAGGACCAAGGACTCGCAGAGGGTGATTCTCAGTCTCTCACTCAGGTAGGGTCTCAACTTATAAAGGAGCTTTCGCCGGTAAAAACTATTTCTAACACATTCCGATACATATTTTTCGAATTTTAAGTTGCAATCCATGACAAGTCCTAGATTTCTGGCTGTGTCAACCCTTGTAATAGGTTCTCCATTTATATGAATATTTAAAGTTATATCTTTAAGTTTAGCAATATTCTTTGGCGAACCTATGATCATGAATTGCGACTTTTTGGGGTTAATTGACAAACAGTTTGAACTGCACTAGGCAGAGATGCTGTCCAGGTCCTCGTTCACCCCCGCTACAGCACTGGTACAATCAGCCGGTGCAAAAGAGAGGTACACTTGCAGGTCATCAGCGTACAGATGATGCCGACAATTTGCAATGGTGTTAATAATATCGGCACTGTAAAGGATGTACAAGACTGGCCCTAATATTGACCCTTGAGGAACTCCGCGAGTAACGATTTGTGGTTGTGACCTCAGTGAAGTACCATCCATCTGCTTTAGCTCTACATATTGCAGTCGTCGTGTCAGATAGCTGTGGAACCATTTCACTGAATTACTGTCAAGGCCATAATATCTCAGTTTAGATAGCAGCAGGGATGTATTGATCGAGTCGAAGGCTCGAGAAAAATCCAGCAGTGTAAGAATCGTTAGCATCCCCCTATCCTGAGCAGCCAACAAATTGTCGACCACGTCTGCTAGAGCAGTTGCCGTACCATGCCATTTCCGGAAGCCAGACTGATATTGTGGGAGGATGTTTTGTGCTTCGAGATAGTCAGTAAGTTGGCTGCACACTATTCTTTCCAATATCTTAGACAGGCATGGCAGGATGCTTATAGGACGAAGTTCCTGAACTGTACCACGCTGACTTGTCTTAGGTAACGGTCTCACAATTGCAACCTTCCAGTTCTCTGGAAATACACTGTCGAGTATTGACCGGTTAACTATCGCAGTAATGGCCCCCAGCGAGTAAGGCAATGTGAGCAAAAGCATGTCCAAAACAGACCATCGTTCCCTTGTGCATTTGATCTCAGGTCCTTTATGGTCTTGAGGACTAAGTCTTCATTAACAGTGTGCAGTGAAAACGTAGAAGAGTTTTCATGCCTATGGTGCTCATAAAAAGTAAGTTGTGAGATTGTAACATTGTCCTCGCCTGGTACATTCAGGAAGTGCGTGTTGATTAGATCTGGGTCATTGAGCGATGAAGGGAGGTCCGCAATGTTCTTCTTATTCGGCAGAATTGTACTTCTTAGGTTCATCCACAGGGTTTTGGGGCTGTTCAAATTATTATTTATTTGTTTTTGTAAAAAAGAAGGTCTTCTCACGTTCAATTGCATTCAAGACAAGGCACTTCATAGTTTTATAACTGTTTCTGAGGACTGAGGTTTTCTGCTTTAGGTACTTTTTGTGGTAATTGTCTCGAATATGAATCATCTCCTTGATGGTATCAGTTATCCAAGGATGCGGGGGGTGCTTAAATTTACGTGTCCTTATTGGGGCATGTAAGTTCATTAGTCCCATGACGCATTGTGTGAAAGCTTCCACAAGCTCGTCAACGTTATCGAGACAGTTGAGATCAAGACCCCTCTAATTAATGGCGCTCAGATCTCGCTCAAGCTGCTCCAGGACGATGTCTTTGTAAGGTCGGTATGTAACCCATCGAGGACTGATTTTCTCTGTTTTTATTCTGAATTCAGCCAGCAACATGGCGTGGCGGCTCAGGTCTGGGGAGTATTTCACTACTACCCGGAGTGCTGGCAAGTCTGTGCAAATCACATCAATCAGTGTTGCACTATGCTCAGTGTGATGTGTTGGTTCAGTCACTAATTGCTTGAGATTTTGACTGCGTATACACTGCATTAGCTCCCTGCATCTACTACTGCCCTCATCAAGCAGGTTTATGTTGAAGTCTCCAGTCAAAATCAGTCCATCTGCCCAGGTGAAGGAGGCAATAGACTCAGTTATAGCGTCAAGGAACAGTTCTGGGTCTTGCCAGGGTGGTCTGAAAGCTGTGCCAATAACTATGACCTTATTGAGTAGGCGCGTGGAAACCCACATCTGTTCCACCGATGCCACATTGCTAGGGTGAGAACAAGGCCTCACATTCATACCTCTGCGTACGTAGAAGCCTACCCCACCCCCAAGCCCATTTTTGATATGGCTTGGCCTTGGAGTGTGCCTCAACCGGTAATCGGCCAGTTTAGGAGCTCTGTCCCCCTCTCCAGCTCTCAACCATGTTTCATTTATAGCCATAATGTCCGGGGCCAAGTCATTCATTGCCATTATAAATTCCTCATGCTTAGTACAGAGAGATCCTGCATTGAAAAAACCAACCAAAAAATTCTTTAACCCTGGGCCCGTGATATATGTGTGTAATATAAACACCAATAGACTGTAATGTTAGTATTTTTTGTGTGACTATTTACTATAGAAGTTATAAATGATAAATTTGAAATAATATTTTTCAACAATACTAACATGAAATTGTAAATATTTAGGATATAAATGTTAAGAATAGAATTGTATTTATTTTCCGTGAATATATGATATTGGAACAACCCGCAACAGCTTATGATAGTATTTTTTATTGAATTTCCTAATACTAGACTGACACAAAAAAAGTAGCAATAAAAGAAAGAAAGCACCGAGATCATATTAGAGGTAAGCCAATGAATAATATAATATTTTTCAGTGAGACAACGTATGTGAAACTTATTGTTTTTTTTAAATAATTTATAATGGGCTGTCAGTCATTGCGACGGGCTGCCGAACAGCCTCACAACGTCGACCATCGAGCGCAACTGGAACACCTGCGCACCATCGCTCTTACGAGCGAAAATGCGACCCCTCTTGGTCCAGGCGTACTTCCATTGGAGTCGGCGGCACTCCTCCCGAACCTGACGAAAGAGTTGGCGGTTCGCGCGGGTCAGGCGCTCATTAACGAACACCCTCGCCCCACCCTCGCCGGTGAGGCCGCGGCGCACGCGCGCGGCCTGCAGAAGCTCGTCACGCAGCTGGCGCCGCGCCAGGCGCACCACCATACGGCGCGCGCGCCTCGCCCGCCCCCGCCGGGGGCGTGCCCACGCGCTCCACGAACACCACGTCCCGCTCGTCCAGGGTCACCCCCAGGCGGCCAGCGAGCACGATGACGCTGTGCGTGACGTTTTCACCCTTCGCCTCCGGAAGCTGACCTATTTCGAGGTCAGTGAGCAACGCATCCTGGTCCCGGTCGTTGAGCTCGAGCCTGAGCTCCGCGACGGTGCGCTCCAGGCCCGCGAACGCGCTCGAGCCATCCTCGGAAACCACCTCCGCCTGCCGTCGCTCCGCCGCCTCGAGTCTTCGCTCGAACTCGTCAAGACGCGGCCCGCCAACCTCGCTATCCCGACGCAGTCGCTCCTCCATCGCCTTCATTCGCCCGTCGATTCCGTTGACGTAGCTTTCGCAGCGCTCCACTCTCCCAGACAACTGCAGCAAGTTATCTCTGATAGAGGCGACATCGGCGCGCGTAGCCTTCAGCTCCTCGCGCATAACTTCCCTGAGGAGTCTGATCTCCCTGATCACCTCACCGAGTGTAGCCTCGCCTAGTGTCGCCCCGCCGAGTGTTACCAGCGGCGGGTGGTTATTATTAGCCATCGATGTCAGCCGCGGCTCTTCCCTGGTCGACGGCGCCGGCAGCTGCTCCAACGCGCTTGGATCACCCTCGTCCGTCTGATCGTCCAGGGTCATTCCGCTCTCATCCAGGAAGTATCCGTGGTGCCCGGCCGTGTCGCGACGGGTATTGACGTTGCCGTAGGGATTATCCGTCTGGAGCTTCACCGGTGTCTCGGCATTATCGCCTCCCTTCCGATGTTTGCAGGCGCATTCGGGGCATGTCCAATTAGCCCTGTGCTCCTTTGTCATAGTATTCAAGAAGCTACATTCCGGTACGTTGGCACATTCGAGGTCCCAATACTGAGAGCACTTACTGCACTGCAAGTAGCGGCTGCTCGTAATTTCGCGGCGGCATCCCGCGCAGGCCGGCAGACTTCCGGCAGGCGGCGCCATCTTCTGGGCACCGGATCTATTGCATGACTTATTGATTGACATTGTTATCACGAATTTTGTATAGTTCTATTTGCAAAAACAAAAACAAAAAAAAATAATGAAATAAAAAAAATATTAAAAAAAGCAAAAAGTCTGCACCGTCGCGGTATTGAACTCGGTTCCTTGATCACTGTAACCGCAACTCCGACCGCCCGGCTAAATTAGGCGTGATATGTAGGGCGAATATTAGAATGTCAATCCACTTGTCTATCAGTAATACTGTGGTCAGCTGCGGGTGATAGTTTATTTATTTTTAACACTGACACTGAGACTGACCCAAGTACCGTCTGTAAACAATGTATAATTGTATATTTTCCGATTATAACTCTGATGTTTTGCACCTTACAAGTTTTACACTTGACACACTTAGTTTATTGTCCCAACTGTAACACTTTTTGGACAGACCGATCACTAATTCTACTCGTTTTATAATTAAATTGTATGCATAACGTATAGCACGTCTTCTTTCACTCAGCGTTCGTACCGTTCCGTTTGTACTGGAGCATTTGTACCAGGTAGACATAAAATATATTCGATTAAAAAAATTATGTTGAAGATTGTTGGCTTTGAATACTTCCATCCAACGAGTTACGGGACAATTTTGTGTCCCGGAGCTTTATTTGGGGACAATGGGCCAGGTGACCGAGAAAAGGAACAGTCCCGTTCAAAACGGGACGTATGGTCACTTTACCTATAACCCGGCTACGGCTCCGTGGCGCAGTGGCTTAGCAATCAGTTGTTGCGCTGGGGGCCGCGGGTTCGAATCCCGCACGGAACAAGTATTTGTAAGGCCTACAAATAATTTTTCCGGGTCTGGATGTTTGTCCTTGTGCAATTTATGTTTGCAAACTGCCTCCACGACTCTCATTCTATATTACTCTCATTCTGCGAAACATCCTATTTATTTATTTATTCTTTATTGCACCAAATATTTGTACAAAAGGCGAGCTATCTATTTATTTACCTATAGTGAGTAGGTATCTTTTAAACTCACAATTTTCAATGCTTCATTTTTAATAGGTATATAATTAATTATAAAATTTCATAATTAGATAATATATGAGAATACACAATTCTAATATAATGCAACTAATATACCCAATAAAAAAATTAAAATACATTTATCGTTGTACGCTGTGTGTATTTCCATAAAATAGTTTATTGATGTTGAAAAACGTTCGTACAGTAGGTGGCGTCTTACATATTTCTTACGCGATATATTGTAGCGAGTCGGCGCGGCACACCAAATACTCAAGGTCGTTCGCATGGAGTAGCCCCTTAATGTAAACTAAACGTCAGGTCAATTCATACCCTCTGAAAATTTCCAATATTACGTATATTGGAAATTTTAATAATTAAATAATTAACATTACACAAGCAAATACGAGTAACTTTGATTTAGAAACTTCGTATTAAAATTTATATCTGTATAAAACGTCGATGATTTTAACGTACATTAAATGAATTTATTTAAAATAAATAAAAGTTTGAAAGAGGTAAAATTTTATCTCACTGCTCCTCGAATAATAGTTATCAAGTTTCCTTATTATTTCAATCTGGCCTTTAAATGATATTCAATAATTCATTGAGTCATTATGGGGAGCTTATCGCTTCCCATAATGACGGTGATCCATCGAACGAGCAGCTCAAAAATAAATTTTGATGCGCAACGAAAATAAAATTAACTGTTTAAAATAAATATGAAGATGTTTCTCATTCCACGTGTACGGAGCCGCGGGCCCCTTAAAAGCAGAACCAAGTAAATTATGTTATCTCCAAGGCGTGTGATATCCATTAACAGTTAAACACACACGCTGGGGCAGATGAGCGAACTATTCTTAGTTCATTCTTCTTTTTTTAGCAGTCTTTTTGAATCTACTCGGGAAAACTAGTCATATGATAATAATAATAAACATATTAGTTACTAGCTGTGTTCCACGGTATCACCCGCGTATATCACGTATCTGAGCCGACATGACATGTACATCTAGTTCAAGCATTTTAGATAGCAATGTATGGAACATTGGTAAAATTAATGGAGTCTTTTATCTGTCGACATATGTACGTTATAGAGCGAAGTTAAATTTTATCTACTCTCCCTTCCCTTCCCGGATGAGCGTCACGCCCCCCCCCCCCCCTTCCCGCCTTATTTATCAAGAATCATTTCTATTCTACACACTTTTCACGTAATTATTTTGAGATCAAGTAAAGATATATATTTTTGTAGAGCAATTTATTCACGTATCACTAACCAATACGTCAGCGAACGCGGATCTGGGGGCACGGCAGTGCCCCCGCCAAGTCGAGCAAAAAAGCGGCACGGCCGTACCATCCTTTTCTCGAAGCAGTTTAGGCCATTTTAGAAACCCTATAACTTCGTTGTGGATAAAACTAGAAGCCTGAATTTGGCCAAGTCAATCTATTTATTTAAAATATAAACGAATTTTGATATTGATATGGTCACTATAAGATTTTGTTAGGTTAGCTAATTACGTAATAATTTAAGACAGAAGGACCCTTAAGTAGGGACTGAATAAATTAACAGACTTGGTATTACATGGATCTCACAACTTTTTACGGTAGAAGAACTGAGTTGCGAGACTTGGCTTTTTTTACAAGTTATGTTTTTGATGGCATAAATCATTTCGGGAGCGCTTTTTCTTCTGAATTGCCTAATAAAATCAATATTTAAGGCTAGCTGAGAGGAATAGCCTAAATCCAGAGAGCCTGTACTATATTTCTCACGAATCTGGTTATATTATATAAAAAATAATTTTTCAAATCGGTCCGGTAGTTTCAGAGATTAGCCTGTTTAAACAAACAAAAGAAACTCGTCCGCTTTGTTATATTAAAAGTATATACGTATAGATGTTCAAAAATATATAAAAATTTAATAAGTATAGATTTTTGAAAAAGTACCGAAAGTATCGAAAGATATATACATTTATATGACTGGAATTCAGAGAGAAGACGTTGTTACATACCCATTCTAATAACCCTTTTATTATTACGAGATGATATGTGCCCAGATCAGATTTTATCAGCATCGTTTCCAATTTAACTTCATATCTTCGTATGAATGCTGAATATATGTCTCACCCATAGATTGCATCGCATCGGTTAAGCGTATCTTCAATTTTCCTACTTTCATTATCTTCTCGCTTCTACGACACATACGGCATAATATAGGAGATTTTTTTAGGCCGCCACTACAGCTTGTGTAGTGTATCGTGTTTTATTCATGTAACCTAAATTCAAAAATTCTGAAAGAGTTCCACTATACTTCTTCATCATCAGCCTATAAAAGTCTACTCATGATCTTGGGCACCTCCAATTACAGGAATTATTTGCGATCGCAGTATCATTCTCGCAACTTTTTCGCTACTCCCCGTCACTTTCTATCGTATTTTACATCTTGTATTAACGTGCTTACTATACCACCGTTAAGCCAGGAGATCTTAATGGTATTTCCCGCAGTCACCTCTTACGACACCCACTGATGTTTTCTGTGATGGTTTTTCTTTTACCTTGCTGTCTCAACACGGTACTTTAAATGGTAACTTATAATTACCAATTATTAATATTTTATCAAAGTTTTATCAATAATTTCTTACAGGCAGGTTACAGATTTTGTCTGTAAATTTAAATGTACAACGAAATTTTCTTTTTTATATGTGAAAAAGTTAATTTATATTATGAAACAGCCCTGGTATTTTAAGAGTTATTGAAGTCTTAAAGTCTTAAGTGAATAAAAGATTTTAACTAAATTTAATTAATTGATAAATAGAAGTTTTTGAAAAATGTTCAATATTGCTTGATTATTGCGATAAACTAAAATGGCCGTCAGGTTTATTTTGAACAAATTAAAGAGCTCGCTGAGAGTTAGGCGCATCGATAGCTGATTAGAATTAATAATGAGATGTGATCGTTTTGCCTATTAACTAATGAGGACTACTCTTTGTATAATTATGAATCGTACGTGCATTATTATTTAAATAATTAATACATTTTTAAATAACAGTAATTTTCACTTTATTTAACACGTGGAAGTTACATGTCAAGCGTAAAAAAGGTTCTACTTATTCACCGGTGAGAGATTTAAGTGGCCCTTGAAACTAATATATTGTAAGGGATCTGGCAACGTTTAGATAAGAAGTTAGCTCTTAAATAAATGTTTTCCTTTTCTTAGACAATTAAAAAAAGGCATGAGATATGAGTCTAAGTATAGAAATTATAAACTAAGTTATGCAAATGACTTGCTTTATTACAGATGTGATCACTTTTAACTATATCTATTTGTATTTTTCATATACGATAAAAGACATTCGATCAACAACTCAGACAAATAAAACAATCAAGAATCTAAGGTAAGGTCTTCTATGCTGCTTGGTTTCAGATTCTACATCCACACTTTATTCATTAATTGAATTAAGTGATCACAATGAATTGAATGAATGAATTAAATGTTAACAAATTAAAAACAATGGTCAAAAATCAACGATCATCTCAATCAAAGTCTATTTTCACTTTATATATTTAATATTAGCTGTACCCCGCGACTTCGCCCGCATGTAATTTATTACGATTGGATTTCATGGGTTTTAATTTTTTTGCGCGGATTTTTTTTCTAAAATAATAGTAGCCTAAGTTACTTAGCTATCTGTTAGTGAAAGTCCCGTCAAAATCGGTCCAGCCGTGTCGGAGATTAGCCGGAAAAAACGGACAGACAGACAAACAAATAGGCAAACATTTTAAAAATTGTTTTTTTATCATAAGAACCGTTTATAGCTTCATATGCATTTGGTAAAAAGCTGTTATTTTGACATTACAAACAGACACTTCTGTTTTATTTATTCGTATAGATTAAATTGTTTATATGCAAGCTATACCTACACAATTACTCTGCCGTACCATTAGGAAACTTTACTACCATATATTTTATACAATACACTATTAAAATAATATACTATATATCAAAATCACCATTACAGCTCATCACAAAC